CATGTGTCAAGGCAAAATCATGAACAGATCTCCCCGCATGATTGGTTAAACGTGAACCAAGCCATTCGGCGTGATGGGCGTTAAAGTGGCCGAGGATCACGATCTCTGCGGAGGGGATCTGCTGTAGCAACGAGGTCGGTCTGTTTCGGCATTACCGCTATGGGACCTATAGAGGCGCCCGTAGCCGCGCGGATGGTCGTCGCTGTCTACGCGTAGCCAAAGGATGGCCAGGTCCGAACCTTCAAATCTGCCGAGGCGTCGAGAACAGATGTCCTTTCTGACGTACACGCAAACTCCAGCCCGAGGCACAAAGGAGTGTTCCAGTTTGTACCCCAAGTAGGAGAGATACGAGACATCAGCCGGTGAGGACACCTGCGTCTCGGTCAGAAAGAGCAGAGCCGGACTCGCCGTCTCGAGATGATAGTAGACGGCGTTTAGGTTAGAGTGAAGCCCTGATATTGCAGAAATTCACGGACAGCGTGGCAGGGGTCGCCTTGGTCTTGTTGCTCCGTTTGCCCCGAGCAGTTGTCTTGAGCCGGAATTTTGCCCCCCCCCCCCAGAATACGCGGGCCAGCCTGAGCACCCATGCTCAGAAGTGGAGAAACATGGTCGTGGATACTCAGCGAGGGATTCTCCAGGGGTGCTGGTACCCTCCTAGGGTAGTCTATCATCATTTGATTCCGCTACCATGTTGATAGGGGGGGAGGGATTTGGGCCTCCGGCCACCTGCACTCACCGGACGAAACGCGGAAGCAGAGCTTCCACTTCGCGCCGGTATTCTGTGCAGTCGTGGTACCACCTCGGTTTGAGCCGGCCTATACGTGCAACAGCAAAGCTGCCGCGTGGCTCTACCACTGTTAAAGCTAATGTTATATTTATAAATGGAGTACTTAAATTATGGATATGTCTTATATTTGTTTTTTTATTACTTTTTAAACGTCTACGAAGTAACTTTTCTAGATTTCTTGTGGGCACATTTAGAAATAATACTATCCATATCAATTTCTCTAAGCAATAACAATCAGGATAGGCGTTCTTGACTCATAGTGTTTCCTAAATTAATTTTTTGTAAGTTTCAATGTCGAAAATGAAAGTCCACCACTGTAGTTATTTAACATAAGAGGCAATAAATGAGTTTATCAGTTTCTAAATTGGGAAAACATGATATTGATGAATTATCCATTAGGAATTTATATTTAATTTCTGGAAATAATTGTGGCCGGTGCGATTTGTCAATTCCTTTTGAGCAACTCGGCAAACTGCACTAATTCGCCGTCTATGTTATATTTCAAACCGTTTGCAGAAGCACTGATTATAATTGGAGTTTTTTTCAAAATCTCTTCGGCTATAATATATTTGCATGATAATGGATGAAAATCATTTAAAATGCCATTTGCCGACCATTTTTATAAAATAATTTGTCCCCGGGCAATATTTTATGATAAAACTCATTTAAATATGTGAAAAGTGCTTATTATTGTCCTTTGCTATATTATCTAGCTTTATAATACAGCTTTATATATTAATTACCAATGATATAAAAATACTATTCCTTTTTTCGTAACGAAGTCGAGTATTATTCATACAAAATAATTTGTCCTCTTCACGAGCTACGTTACAAAAATCATGAAAATAAATACACTAGCTACATTTATTAATTATTGGTGAATTTTCTGCTAAAACATAGTAAATTTCCATTGATTTCGATAAAAATTATTTTATTTGAATTATTTTTAATATTATAATTTTGGTAAAAAATTAATGTCCATTATTTTGTTCATTTTTGTTGTTCATTTTTCTAACAGTAAAATTTGGCAATAATTGGTAATTAATAAATGGCAGCACTACTTTTCTAACGAGCCAATGACATACAAGAAACGAACATGTGTCGGCCATTTTGTTCTCCAGTGAAAAAAGTGAACGACGCGTATTTCTTTATCGACGAGTAAAATTCCAATTTTAAATTATCAGTTTTGTTTAGTTTAACAAACAACGCAGGTAAGTGAGTACTTATATTTCATCGATTATTTAAATAGGTTACTACTGACCTTCATTGAAATGCAAGGTTGTTAGAACTCATTAAGGTTTCTGTTTGGCTTAAACATTTTGGCATTACTTTCAAAGTACGGTGGTTAATCATTTTTGTTATAATTTGTTACAATTTTTGGTTACGTTACAAAAATGATATAATAAAAATGAACTAAAGCCGCAATCACATTGCTGGTTTATATTGATAAGCAATTATTTTATTAAAAAAATTAAGTTATGGGGTATTATTATTAGAGAGTGATTTAAATGTCTTTTTAATTTTTTGTGCAATAAAGTACAATAAATAAATAAATTTCTGTAGGTAGGTATGTACTTGAAATTTATTATTTTTCGTTCAATACGTCGTTCCATTTTCTTATATTACTGTTTGTTGGTATCACTGTCATTTGTTCGTCCGTTAGTTGTTTATTTCATAGCCTATCAGTAGTGACACTAATATTTGTTTGCCCGTGTTAGAAGCGTCCGTAACCCAGTGCAACTAAAGTAGCCTCGGTCGCTGATAATTTAACGAATGTTACACTGTTGACAGGTTTTTTTAGGTCACGATTGACACTAGTCTCACCTGATGGAAAACAATGACAAGGTTGATGGTGAAACACGCTTACCCGAACATGTCGTTTTGTTTTCTAGTCTATTTGATTGTCTGCTGCCCGTTTATATTTTTTTCTTCACCTAGTTTGATTGTATGTCCAGTTGACTTTTTGTTGGTCCATTATTCTTTCAGTTACTTTGTGTGTTGTCAATCGTCATCTTCGTTTTCATAGCTCTCTGTTCATTTATGAATATTTTTTTTCTATCTTTAGTTGTTTCTGTGCCTGTTTGCGATCAAAATATTTTTTTCTTTTTAGGATGCCAATGACAGCAGCTGAACGTCAACGGCTATATAGGCAACGTCTTAAAGAATTAAACCCAGAAAAGTTTGAAGAAATTCGTTTAAAAAATTTGAACAGAATTAAAAATAAATATGTGTCAGTTTCTAAACTAACAGAAAGCCAAAAATCAATAAGAAGAAGTAACTGGAGAAAGCTGAAGAAAAATCAAATGAAAAAATATGAGTCACAAGTTAAAACCAAAAAGAATATAAAAGAATATCAAAAATACTATAAGAAGCTAAAGAAAGAAAATGAAAAACAAAAACAAAGAAAACAAGTACAAGCACTAAAAAAGAAAATCTATCGACAAAAAATCCTTTGTCAGATGTCTGCCTCAGAGTAGGAAAATCTTATAATTCACGCAAAGCCTCAAACGCCAAATTCAAAATCAGAAGCATTCGTCAAAACTATGACTACTCCTTCAAACGAAGATAAAATGAAAATTAAAAAAGTTCTTCTAGAAAACCTCGTTATGACTGAATCAATAAAGCGGGAATACATGAATAACAAAAAGGCGAAGAAAATTTTAAGGAATATTTTACATCACCGATTGTGAGAAAGTATAGAATGCATTCGCGACTGAGATGGGTCATCGGTTTAAAAAGTAGAATCCGCAATTATGCAAAATTTGGCTCCAGGAAAAACAGTGAATTAGCGAAAAAAATTCGGAACTTTTACCTGCGTGATGATGTAAGCCGAGCTACGGCGGGAAAGAATGAAAATTAGACTTTAAAAAACAGAAACGTCAGAAACGGTTTCTTCTTGACAGCGTGACAAATTTACGTAAAAAATTTAGGGAAGATACTGGTATTAACGTGTCTATTGCCACTTTTCGTAGACACAGACCTTTTTATGTAGTTACACCTCGACTGTCAAATCGTGAAACATGTGTTTGCAAAATTCATGCAAACTTTGAGTTCAAATTTATGGCACTAAAAAAGCTGAAGATCTTTGATCCGGGTATGAAATTACACAAAATCAAAAGAATGTATGTATTCTGAATGTAATATTTGCAAAACGACGTCTCCAACCTACAATTTCACTAAAGCTAAAAAATATGACAACGTTACCTGGGTAGAGTGGATCATGAAAGACGTTGAGTATGAAAAAAATGATGAGACTAAGAAAACTAAGAAAGTGGTAACTGAATCAAAAACAGAAAAACTGGAGATTCTTATAAATCTTTTTGAAAAAGAACTTACAAAGTTTAAAGAGCATTATTTTAATATTTGGCACCAATATAACGTATACAGAAATCTCAAAAGCAGTCTTCATCACAACGAGGTGATTCCCTGTGACTTTTCTAAAAATTACACATGTAAAATGCATCGGCAAATACAGTCAGCCCACTTTGGGATGCAAAATCAAATATCATTACACACAAGTGTCATATACGTTAAAAGTTCAAAACCTCGAGCATATTGCAACTATCTGATCAACAGATCATTCACCCGCAGCAATATGGGTTGAGATTTGATGATATCAAAAAAAAATCCGCAAATTAATACTGTACACGTATTTTCGGATGGCCCCGCCACTCAGTATAAACAGAAAAAGAATTTTTATCTGTATAAATTATATCTTGAGGACTTGAATTTTGAAAAAGGGACTTGGAACTTTTCAGTGTCTTATCATGGGAAAAGTGCTGCTGATGGTATAGGAGGAGTCATCAAGCGACTTTTGGATGCTAAAGTATCCCATGGAATGGACGTTTCAGACACCTCAACAGCATACTCTCTACTGAAAGAAAATACTACTGTCAATCTTTTTTGTGTTGATGAGTCGGATATTATCGAGATAAAAAGCAAAAATCAAACAGCTTTCGAAAGCTTAGTGCCTGTTCCTAAAACAATGAAGATTCACCAAATGCAAGTCGAAACAGAAAACCACTCTAATGAAATAAATTACCGAGTTTTAAGTTGTTTTTTTAACGGCTCAAGCATGAGAGGTTTTTGCGACTGTTTCAACATTAAAAGACATTGTCTGCTAAAATCTCGCCCTAGAAAGCGAACTCGGCTAACATCCGATTCAGATAACTGTCTACCTTTACCGTTTAAAAGAACAGCACATACTACCAACATGTCTGCTGCTATCTCCAAATCCGAGAATAAAACACCACCGGTTTCTTCAAAAAATGTCCCAACTGTACCAATATATATGTTTGTTACTGTTGACTGTGATTCAGACTCCTCAGATATTTTCGATTTGTCACGTACTATTGGTACTACTAAAACTTCTAAGCGTAAAGTGCTGAGCAATCCAACGCAAATTATGACGCCTGTGGTTGCAGACCATACCTATGCCGCCGTGACAAATAAAGAAAATGTTGATCATCAGCATAAAAATAACTGGAAAAATATAAAAAATGCGGGAGCTGTGACTATATTATCCGATGTTAAAGTAAACTATGCAATTAGTGATTTAAGGAAAATGATCAGCAATACAAAGCGGCAAAATGTGTCTTCTTGTGACCTCAAAGTAGATTTTCCTGAAATTCTTGAAAGTTCAACAACTAATTCTGTATCATTAAAGAAAAAAAATTTTTTTCTAGTTCAAGTGAAAGTGAATAGTGTTTCATATTGTTATTTTGTTAAATAGTTTTTGATAACTCTATAGTTCCTTAAACTGTTATTATTTCAATAAAAATTGTTTTCGTTGTGTTCATGACGACAGTAAATAGATATGTCTGGATATTTTTAGTTCCTATTGCAATTATTTTGATATCCTTAATATTATTTTTTTAAATGAGGTTATTATTAAAAAGTCATCATAGCTTTGATATATGTAGCTTCAATACTGCGCATATAAAACTTAAATAATGTCTGCGTACGATTGTGTTAGCAAAGAGTTAATATAGAAATAGATTGTAAATTTCTTACCCTTTTTCCCAAGTCTGTAACGAAATGAATGTTGTTGACAAATTAATGTCTATTTTTGTATCATTAATTTGTTTATGATAAGTACCCGGTTGACCGAGCTTTGCTCGGTATTTTTCGCTCGGTTTTTTTTTAATTCGTGTGTTTTGGAAATTATATTTAGATACAAATTACATACTGATGAAATACGAATAATATTTTTTGATCTTAGCGACATAATAGAAAAAACTGAACTGGTTATTTGAATAAAAAATCATGAGTGCAATTAGTTTAATTTAAATTTTCGTGTTTTTAAAAAATACTAACAAAGGGCTCGAAAAATAGATTCTCTCAAAAAAAGAAAGGAACTTGAAAAAAAAAATAAAAAAAGTCGGTCGGTCGGTCTGGGCTCGAACCATGGTATTACGATTTTGTGACCGCCCAATATACCAATTAAGCTATTTGTAATCACTAATAAACAGTCAAAATTTAACTTCTTATTCTAACGATATTGTAGCAGTTTTTCATTGCCTAAAAACACGGACAAAAAGACATTTTCTAAAAATAAATTATTGTCCCCGAAACTTCCTGCACACAAAGTTGGAACGGTTTCCGAGATTCCGATTATATATATACAAAAATTGCTCGTTTAAAGGTATAGGATTTTATCGAGGAATAATATTCTCAAAATGTAACTGATTATGTTGAAGTATTTGATCTCTTTTTTTACTGTCCCGAAAGAAAAAATAGATTTATAAGAGATACAATGTTTCTTGTGATCTTTATTATATTTAGTTAGTAAAAGAAAATAATAAAAGCATTATAAAGTGGTTTATTTCATAAATCTTGTACGTGATTAATAAATTAATAGTAATAGAGGAAGTCGGAATTTCGCCAGCTGCCAATGGGCGCGTATGTTCGTGTTGCTAAGTGATAACCAGTGTATATTGTGAAAACACCCTAATATTTCGTTTTTATTGTTTTTTGGTACGTGTTTCATTTTTGTTGCATTTTCATTTTTGTTTCATTTTTGTCACAATGGTCAATTTAAATGATTTTCACCCTAATGCGGTTCAAAAATGTCTTCGTTTGAGTGCCTGTTTTACAGTGCAAGGCACGTCTCGACGCGTACTTTGCACTGGCGATCATTGAGTTCGCGGGGTACCAGTTTGTCAAGCTTTTTTACATTGCAAATTTGACGCAAATGGACCAACATTGTTTTGATGCTAACGTCAAAAGATACTGTTAATTCAGCCGTAGATTGAGTATCTATCACACCATGTTAAAATGTTCCAAAAACACCAGTTAGATTTAGGTATGCTTTTATGCGTTTATCTAAAGCAGATAGCACGTTATCAATAATGATAACAAACACTTCAATTTCCAACTTTTTATCAGGTGTTTCTGTTTCAACAAATCGGTCAAGTGTACCAGAACCCCTAAAATCATCGTACTTTGTGTTTCGCTTGTATCGTTTTAAAGTTTGCTGCTGATATACAGAACAGTCTGTCAGATATTTGGCTTTTGCTTCAATATCTGAAAATGTTTATCGCATTGCTTGGACATATCCATATAATAATTCATAAAGGTTGTATCCAATATTAAGGTTGCATGCGTTTTATAGTTCATAAAAGATAGCTTGATCTCTGCGACAGCTGTCAGTAAAATCACGCCTATGAAGGTCCTGAATTTCTTAGTAGTACAGACAGTACCCGTCAATGTCATACTTTATGGGCATGCCGACCTAATTAGTGCTTGCCCATAAAGTATGACATTGGCAGGTACTGTCTGTACTACTAAGAAATTCAGGACTTCATAGGCGTGATTTTTACTGACAGCTGTCGCAGAGATCAAACTATCTTTTATGAACCATAGTATTCCATTCCACGTGGTTGCCATTATTTCCGTTTCACGCATTTGATATATTGCTTGCTTGATGCAATTAATTTGATAAATTTCTCGCATGTTGTTTTAGATAAATATATATGTGTCCTTTTCCTTTATGGACATAAGTTTGTCGTACGGGTCCGGAAAAACTGCGGGTGACAGTAAATTCCGCAGTTTGGTCGTGCGAAGCAGAATTTTTCACGTATCTAAATCTCCCAGTAGTGGACCTTCAGCCATCGAGACAATGAGTTGAGAGAGAGGTTAGAATTTCGAGTTCTGAAGCAGTGTACGATGTACGATGATGGAATTCAGTAGTTGATACTAAGTAAGCTGATACTGGGGTGCCTCGGCTCAGAGATTAGAACAGTATTCCATATGAGACCGAATCTACGCTTTGTAAAGCTGCAGTAGGCCAAAAAGTAGAAATCCCGTCTTGATCTACTGAACACTCAAAGGTTTTTTGATGCCAGTTTAGCCTTCCCTTCCAAATGCCTACGAAACTGTACGTCTTATGAAATGTTGACGCCAAGGATTCCGATGCTGGCTGAGGTAACGGAGGGCGTGCTCTGAAATCGAGGAAATACGACAAAAACTTTATTTTTTGCGTTAAATGCGTAAACCTGTGTCTTTTTTAAACTTTTCACCCAACTGAGACTTGTTCAACAAAGACTCGACTTCAGACACAAGTTTGTTCCAAAACAACTACGTTCTCCCGAGAAATATTAGCACGGCCAGTGTATAAAGTATCGCCAGTGCTGTCGGATGAATAAGAATGAATATGCAACATATAAATTGTGTATTGCAAATAAATTTCAATGTTTTGAATCTTCATAGTTATCGGACCAGAACACTTCTTACGTGCTGGATTCTCACATACTTACCGATTACAATATATCGGATGAGTCATTCACCACGCCTAGTAAACTGTCTAAGAGTGTAGACGGGACCGTAACAGACATAACATCAATCTCTGAAATGAAAGTAACGATATCTCAGCTAACCTGCACACTTGAAAGTACTCAAAACGAATTAGAAAATTTGATATTAGAAAATAATGATTTACACAGACAAATACATAAGTTGACTTCGGAAAATAAAATTTTAAAATCACTCTGCCATTCTCCTACAAAAATAGGAGGTAGCCTTGGAGTTTGTAATAAAAATAAAAGACACTCCTTATTAATTAATAACACATCTTCTGTACCATCTTCGCCGATAGTCAAGTCACACCTTAATCCCAACACTAACACCATCATAATATGCCTGCAACAAAAAATCAGCGACTTGCAAAAAAACTTCAGGATGCAGAGAAAGACATCACAGGTCTTACGGAAAAAATAACAAAACTGGAACAAAAAAAATACTTTAAAACCTCGATAGAAAAACCGAACAAGATCTCATATCCCATCACAGTACAACATAAACCCGACCCTATAAAAAAATTCACACCATCGGTTCTCAACAATGCGTCGGCCTGGCTGCAGCTATATCACATTCGAGACATATGACTCAATACGAAAAATATGAAGTTCCTAGTCAGACGAAACCATATGCACCAAGCTATGAAATAATAAAAAATTGTCAAAACATGACGCTAAAGTCAGACGATAAACTTATAATTTGTGTAGGGGAAAATGATTACAATAGGTATACAGCTAGTTTTATCACAGCTACAATGTATACTAGACACCTTTAGTAATAATACGATAATTGTGCTAAATGTTATTGAAAATATAAATATAAATGTTAATAAATTAAATTATTTTATTAGAAATATATGTAAGAAATATAAAAATTGTCATTTTTTGAATTGTAAACACTGTAATCGTTCGGAAATTTGTAAATTAATTAATTATGTTATTGACCGTAATGATTATGCAAACAAATATTTAAACCCTAGCGAAATCAGTAAACGTATAGCAAGCAATAAGTCAAGTTTTAAAATGTGTAAAATCTTAAATGAACCCAAAAAAGGAACAATCCCTTTTTATTTTAAGAAACAAACTGACATCTCCGCAAAACCAGTTGAACGTTTTAGTAGAGGAACGATACCTTATTATTTTCCCGTAATAAAAAAAGAATAATACATTTTTTCGACCGTAAAAAACAAATTCCTACTGCATATAATTTTATAATTTTACATCAAAATATCGCGAGTGCTTTGTTAAAACAAGATATAATGGAAATAACTATACAGGAGTTACAGGAGAGTAACAGTGACCCGGATGTTATTTGTCTTTGGGAAACTTTTATAAAAAAGGTTGTGAGAAGTTTTTAAGATTAACCGGTTACATCATGGCCGCCAATTTCTGCAGAGAAAAGAAAAGAGGGGGAACCTGTATCCTAGTTAAAAAAGGATTGATTTTTAATGAACTGTCATTAACAAAAAAATATGCGTCGCAGAATACGTTTGAAGTCTGCGGCATTGAACTAACGTGTATTAAATTAATAACTGTCTGTCTCTACAGAACACCCCAATCAGATCCGACCCAGTTTCTATGCACACTAAATAATCTCTTTGTAATGTTTTCATATAGAGGGTAAGACGAAAAACAAGTCAGTCGGTTGTCCGAGCATTAAACGAAGCATATACGTTAGCAAATTACTTGTGTTTTATTCTAAATAATTTCACAAATACAACATTTTGGCGACGAGTTTCGTTATCTACGTGTGTAAAAAGTGTTATTAAGAAAAGAAATTATGGCTAGCAGTGCTAATGTAGTGTTCGGAGGCAGTCTCAGTTTTGACCACCGAATTCACGAGTGGAGTATTTTTAAATGCCGATTATTCCAGTTTTATACCGCTAATGATATAACGGAACAAACGGACAAAGCTGGTGTTAAGCGTCGAGCAATT